GGAGTACAGTTTCTTGGAAATCAAAGAAACATAATGCGGTGGCATTGTCTATCCTAGAGGCAACATACGTGGCATGTTGTTTGCCGGCCAAGCAGGCCGTATGAATTAAGAAATTTTGTAATCGATTAAACTTTTAACCCGTGTGTTACAAGGCAGTACGGATTTTCTGCGACAACACAATGGCTTGTTTGAAGAACTCCTTTCAACCCATGAAGATACGACCCCATGCAATGAGGATATGTGATGATCTTCTGTGACAACATATCCATGATTCGTGACGCAATATGAACGATAGACTACGATTACTTTCGGGATGAGATCCGAGCAGCAAAAAAAAAGAGGTGTTGCCTCTATGAGTCATCTTATGAAATGATTAGTAACAAAAGCCATGATTAACGTATTGAGAGAGATTTTGATTAAGAGATAGATGGCGATGAGAAAAAGTGAGAAAGAGAGAATGTAAGGCCTTCAAAGGCCAAGTGGGAGATGTTGGGTTTATGTGGTCATTAAAGGCCTTATGATGAGACATTTTATATAGTGGATCATGAACTCAGTGGGAGTGTAATCCCTCGTGGACCATGCCATGCAAACGATGTTTGTAGATACCGGACTTTGCTTGACAGTTTAGGCCAGTCGGTTGGAAAAACCCATGTTACCTAGGCATGAGGTCGGAGTATATGCCCAGATGAGGGAGCCGAGGGACTGTGTGACCCTTGTGTGTGATGGTGGCCTACAGAGACCGTAGCCAAAGCCTCATCCATGTACCATCACACAATATGTATATTGATAGACTGTTCGGGAGAGAAAACAAGCCATATTTTAGGGTGAAGCATATGCATGTGCGAGAGATACCTCTGTGCGCCATAGAGCTGTAGTCACATACGGTCTAAGTGACATTGACTCCCCTCTAGGGACGAACCTGAAATCCACAGACTTGGATTGCAACCCCTTTGCTCATCAGCCAAACTTTAGTGACCCACTAATGCCCCTGCTTGGACTGTGGGTCATGGGCAACACTGGGTCGGCATGATAAAGCAAGTGTAGTCTGTAGTCCATAGTTGAAGGTAGAGTGTCCCATTATTAATTTAATTCCTTGATCATTTGGATTATTTTCCCATCAAATTAATTTAGTTGTGTTTCTTTTATTGTAGATATTATTTTAGAATTTTTATTTGAATTTTTATAAATCCTTGGATATTTTATTTATAAAATTTGGATTTGTAAAATTAAAGATATTGATTGTTTTAATGACTTAAATATTCTAAAATTTATTTTTGTTATTTTTAATTAATGAAAATTTTATGGGGCCTATTGTGCATATGAGCCCACGATATTCTAGAAGGTGGGGTCCATAAGGCCCTATCTTGGGTGGCACGCCACCTTTTGTGGGGAAGGTTATCCCTATGGTGGCACGCCACCTTTTGAAGGAAAGGGGATAATACTTCAATATATTCCGTAGTATATTAATGGCCCATCTATGGAATGGATGGCTCAGATCTCTCACCCCACAAGTCCCCCTTGATCGACGGATCAGAATCAATGAGATAAACAATGGGAACCCTAGACCCAACATTATAAAGGACCTCTCTCTCTCGTGTCACATGATTTTCTCTCTCTCCTTTTCTCACGCACCTCTCTCTCTCTACTTTATCATTAAAGGGGCACGCCCCATCTATTCTCTCTTGCTCAACATCTTTAAAGGGGCAAGTCTCTCTCCCTAATTACAAAAAAAATTAAATCTCATATCTCCCAATTTTGGTGCAAAAACCTGGGGTTTAAGAAAAATAGAGAAGGGATATTTTTTGGGGAAATATTTTGGATAATTGATCCTAGGGATTTTGTGAGTGCATAAGGGTTTCATTGAAGAGCTTGACAGAAATTAGCTTTCTCGGTTGAGTTTGAACGAAGACCATCGATCCCGTGCCATCAGATAGTGGTGACTCGGTGTGGGGTATAATAAGCGTGGTTGAGATAATCTTCGGCACTCACTTTTTTGTTTCTTGCTATATTTAATTACATTGGTTTTATATTCCCAAGTATAAGTATTATGGATATTTTCTTTCTTTAAAGAAAATTGGTTTATTGGCATGAAGGTTTTTATGATATTGGATTTATTAGTTTTATTTTTTGAGAAACAAGAGTTATTGTGACAAGAATACTTGTAAGTGATATTTGCCAAAAGAAAAAAAAAAAGAAAAGAAAAGGAGTGAAAAGAAAAAAAATAAAAAAAATATATTCCCCAACAAAATCACATTGGTCGCACTTTTAAGAACAAACCCAAAACCAACACAAATATGACCCAAAAACTTCACATACGAGAGGGCACCCAATCTAATCTTGACCAAACCCACTGCAGGCCTTTTGCCACTTCCAAACTTCAGCTTCAATCTCATATATGCTCATCTTACGGAAGTTACTCAGATATGCTCATCTTACGGACGTTACGAAACTGCTCATTCCCAGACTCCTTATCCTTCTACTTACTGCCCTATATTTTTTTTTTTTTCCTCATCTTCTTTAATGTCTATCACATTGAGTTAAAAAGGTTTCAGCAATGTTTCAATTTCAATATGGTATAAAAAGCCAGAATAATACATTTAATTTGTCTAAAATAAAGCATTACACACATGCATAAGAAGCTTTTAACAAAGCATACTAACATTTAATACCGTTTCAAAAGAAAAAGCAAACTAACATTTAATACAAGACAAGCAGACAACAGTGACCCATGAGCATCAGGAACGCAAAAAGAAATACCATTTATTACAAGACAAGCAAAAAATACGGGCCATGAGCACCAGGCACACAATAAGCTTTCAACTGAGGGAATCATAGTAACATCACTTGCACTCAACTATTCTAATGCATTTGTAGGTGTGATTGCTCACCCTTTCCATTTTCACTTGCAAAACCACAGCAACATAGTTTCTTTTTTATCGATGTAACGGAAACATGCATCAGTCCAAGACTTCCTTATGAACAACAGAAGAATGGTTCCCCCAAATCCTACTCCGAATCCCAATTCAATGCTCATATCAAGCCATGGAAATTTAAATCTGTTCCTGCTTCTTTCAATATGATCAATAGAGGGAGGGGGTTCAGGTTTTCCCTTGGAGCCTTGGATGGGGGGAGGTAGACATAAGTATGGGTTCCCGGAGTATATGGGTGCATCAAATGTCTCCATTTGGTTTCCTGTGGGGATTTATCTGAACAAATTGTTGTTGGATAAGTTTAGAACACTTAAAGAAGTCAAGGATGAAATGCTTGGAGGAATGACCCCGGACAATTGATTGTTTGAAAGCTCTAGCAACTGCAATTGCTTCAACTTCGCCATCATCTTCGAAATGACTCACTTAAATGGTTTCTCAACAAATTCAAGAAGTCCAATCCCCACAAGCTTGTTAATTATTCAAGAATTTCTTCAACTAAATGCTTGCTTGAAAGATCTACGCTTTTGACCAAGTTTAGATTCATTTCATAATTAAGTGTTTTCCCTTTTGCTACCACATTCAAACTTTCCATTTTTTCCCTTGATATATATCCCTAGCTTCTAACACCAGCGGTTTCACTGGCAAACCTCATGGCTGTGAAATTTCCCAAAACTCTTAGATATGGGCCCTAATAACCTATTTTCAATGAGATCCAAAACTTGAAGAAAACTTAATTGTGACAATTCTGGGGGTATTCTCCCAATGAATTTGTTTGATCTTAGATTAAGATATTTGAGCCGTTATAGGCTTTCTCCAATCCATGAGAGAATGTTTCCTGCTAACTCATTATAACTAAGATCAAGAGTTATCAATGAAGACCATTTTTTCAAGGCCTGAGGGAGCTCTCCTGAAAACTGGTTATTTGCCGACACTAGCGTAGCAAGCCTTTCAAGAGCCACAAGTGAAGACGGGAAGCTTCCAAATAACTCATTCTTATTGAAATTCAAAAATACCATGCTTGAACAATTTCCTAAGTTCGGAGGTATATTTCCTGAGAGATCATTTCTCGAGAGATCAAGATGATACAACCCTTCCATGTTTCCCATTGAAGACGGGATGTTTCCCCGAAATATTATTAATGGACGCATCGAAGTAGGACAACTTAAACATGATTTGTCCAATGTTTGCAGGAATATGACCAAAAAACTGGTTGTTTGAGAAGTCTAAAGCACTTACCTATGGAACAAGTATGGGTATGGGGCCTTTAAAGAGTTTGAACTCAGATCTACGGCTGTTGCATGCCTAATTCTGCAGATTTTTGGAATCTGACCTTGTATTCGATTATTTGAAAGGTACAGTTTGGTAATGTGACAGGAGATATCACAAAACCAGCTTGGTAGTGTACCTGAAATACTTGCATTACGCAAATCCAAATATTAAAGTCTCCATTGAGTTTTGATCCAAGGAGGGGAGTGTTGATCCAAGGAGGGAACTCAGTCCTTAGAGGTAATGAGCGTAGGACAAGATGGTAGAGCTGAAATAAAGGAACCCATTCATGGCACACATTTAGCACGAACAAATTCCGAGACAAGTTTAATGATTCCAAGTTTACAAGTCTCGCAAAGACAGCTACGGTGACCATCCCTCTGAGGTTGTTGTAAGAGACATCTAGTTCATGCAACATAGAAAGGTTTCCGATGTTTTCGGGGAGCATCCCACTCAATTGGTTACGGGAGACATCAAGTACATGGAACATAGAAAGGTTTCCAAGTGTCCCATTCAATTGGCTATCAGTGAGGTGCAACTCTCTTAGGTTCTCCAGGTTTGCAAGGCAATTTGGAACCCAAAGTTGCAAATCATTCCAACTGGGGATCAAGGTGTTCAAGGCTACCAATATGAGCCACCCAATGAGGAGCTCTTGTGAAGTGATTTTTTAAAAGGGTATGTAGGCGAAGTGAAGTAGAGTTTGGTAAATGAGGGGTTAAGATCGAGTTAAGAGTTTGCAGCCCCCTGCTTCCACTTCGGGAGAAGGGGAAACCCAAGGATCAACCTGAGAAAATCTAGGCTTACCATTGAAAGGTTTACTGTATTCAGTTTAAGGAGTTGTAATGCAGAGAGATTAGTAAGCCATTCAAGGTTGTCCACACTCAAAAACAAAAATTAGAAAGTTCAAGATGTCGGAGTTTTGTGAGATTCCCCAGTGGAGGAGGAATCTTGCCTCCAAATCTCACAAAAGACAGGTCTAGAGTTTTGAGTTCAGTCAAAGAACCCAAGAACTCTGATATAGGACTCAAAGAAAAGTCATTACCACTTAAATTGAGGAAAGACAAATGTTTCAACTTTACCAAGGCTGGGTCTATATGCCCACTCAACCATGAAAACGAACCATGGAGGTCGAGTTTGATGACATGGGTAGGGCTGGATATGTTGCGGCACTCAACTCCTTGCCATTTGCAGCAGTTTCCCCCTTTTCATGATGACAAGAGATTCCCATAATCTGGAAACCCATCTCTTAGCTTGAGAAGAGCTCGCCTTTCAGATTCTACGCAATACTCCCCACTGCACATGTACATGTGCATGAGCAAAGAGAGAAAATTAAAGACACCCAAACCATTTCTGGGTCTTTCCATCAGTAGAGCCCGGCTCAACGAGAGAGGGCTGTATGATATTTTGCTAAGCATGTAAGATAGCAGCGTGCTTTTATATGCATTTTCTTATGACGGCTGATTTTAGTGTTCCTGGAGAGAGAGAGAGAGAGGGAGAATTGCCGTGTTTGACTGTTGAGAGAATCAATGGCAGTTCTTAGGAAATTACATAGATTCGATTGTGGAAACAGAAAGTGTAAAACCATATCTTCTAGGTATCTCACAAATTTTCCACTACATATAACTTGACCGGTATTTGGTTGCATGAACTGGCCGAGGAAACCAGCCATGGGCAAGGTCTCGGTCACCGGAACCGGTCAAGGTCACGGGCTGAAAATGCCGGTACAAGCTAGGCCTAGCAGCTGGGTTTTCATAGCACTATGTCACAGGCCCCATTCCTACATAACTTTGTAAAAGAAAAAATAAATAAATAAAATAAAATAAAAATTAAAAATCCAAATAAATAATAAATTTATGTTTAAGCGAAAATTTTATATTGAGCGGAGTCTCTAAACAATCAAATTTGAGTGCACCTCAAAAATTTCACTTCAAAGGGTTGTTTTGATGACCAAATTTTCTCAAATTGATGATCTTAACATCAAGATGCAAAAATTTCACTTCAAGGGGTTGTTTTGATAACCAAATTTTCTCAAATTGATGATCTTAACATCAAGATGCATGGACACGAGAAAAAAATGGATTTCAAGTTTTGGCAATAGTACATCATGGAATGCACATTTTTGGCCGTCAAATTTTCAAGATTTTCATGTTTTCATAGATGTGTTGGATCTACACTATTTTTTAAGCTTTAAATGTTATAGTTAGAGATGAAAACATATTTTAAGGCTATCACAAATGACAGGAAAAATGTAAAAATAAGTACATATGGTCAAAATATTTTTCAATCTTTGCCAAATTGATAGAACGCATTAAAAAAAAATGTTACAAATAGATTTTCTATTGTCATGAAATTTTTTATAATGTTTTTGAATTTTTTTTAAGATCCCCGAGCTGGACACCCAACTCAGGGATACTCGTGGTCACCAAGGTGGTAAGTCCCAGTGTTTGAAAAATCGGCCGGTCTGAACTAGAACTGCCCAATTAACTCATATTCGACCTCTGGCCGAGTTAGGTTAGTACCGGTTCCGAAGATCAACCTGGGAGAAAATGGATCTATCTGAGAGGGGTTGGAGGCCCCCCACCCCCACTTGACGAGACAACAAAAACCAGACCAGATTTTCTTTTGCGAATTGGCAAAGTGGTAAATGAACCGGCCGGTTTGCATCAGAACCGGCCTAGTGGTAAATAAACCAAGCTCTTGTGGAAACAAGAAGTGTTCAACCTTCCACATAGCTAACGAGTTTTTCACCCCATGTGTCTTTTGACCAATGTTTGATTGCACTAGTGGGCCAAGGAAACCAGCCATGGGCCGGGTCTGGGTAACCCAAAATCAATCGCGGTAACCATCCCAAATCGGCTAAGTACATTCTAGAAAAAAAAAATGTGTTAAAAATATTAAAAAATCCAAAACATAATTATAAAGGTCTTTGAGTTGGACACCCAATTCTGAAGTTTTTATTTTTATTTTTTATTTTTTTTTAAGGTCTTTGAGTTGGACACCCAATTTAAGGATGCTCGTTTGGAGCCGCGGCCGCTCCTGAGGTCGAGACAGGCACTGCGGTAGGCAGATTCGGTGCTACATGAGCCCGCACCCGCGCGCGTTTCAGAGCCATCGAGGACGTGTCTGAAGCAGACGAATCCCCCTTGCTCACACTGTGCTCCTCTCACCAATGCTGAAAAGGTGGATTTCGGGTTCTTCACCCCCTTTCTCTTTCTTCCCCTTTCCTACCTTCCCCCTCTCTCAGAGGAACACTCACCAGCGCGGGAACCCTCGGGCCGCGTTTAGCCCCGTCAACTTGACCGGAGCGCGACCCCCTTCCTCCCGCTGCAGTCGATCCCCGGATAGGTCTTTTTTCGTTGCATGGGACCGCACCTTCCCTTGTCCCCACAAATAGGAGGCTGCTAAGGTCGTCAAATAAAGACTTTCTCTCACCCCGCAGCGACAAATGTTCTATGCCTACCTCGTCCTTGTCCAAGGAACGGGATCTGACAAGCTCTTTCCAGTTGGTGGGGTTCGAAAATCAGGGAGAGGGAAGAGGAGTGAAGCGCTTCCCACCCCTGCTATCCCAACCATAGTAATTGATCTTCTGCCAGGGTGATCCAGACGCCAGCATGCATGCGCAGCCGGCAGTATCCCACCACTGCCGGTATTCATCGGTCACACAACCCACGCAACCATAATGAGGAATCACGAACTTGTTCGACCCCCCCCCCGCGGTCTCGTGCCCAAGTCACTCGAGCGACTCGAAGCTAACTCGCCCATTAGTTGTACACTGATCTTGATTTTCCCCATTGTGGATCGTAGGTGACTGAAATGTTTTTATAATGGATTCAGAATTCCTTTAATATTTGGTTTCGATGGAATAACGAGTCTATGATCAGTGAGAAGACTCTCGGGAGCATAAAAACTCATTTCCTGGTTGGGAAGAGGTGGTGCCCCACGGAACTGAAATGAATCAAAATTAACGCCTAAATTCCCTTGGTGAGCGAGAGTATCTCAAGTTTGGTTGTCATGCTGGGGATTTTAAAAAAAAATATTTAAAAATTATAAAAATCCAAAAAAATAAAAAAATTATTTCTAACTGTTTTTTTTATGTTTTCTATCATTTTGGAAATAATTGGGAATTATTTTAGCTATTAATATTTATTTTCGTATTTTTCCCTCATTTTAGATTATTTCTAAAATACCTTCACTCAAAAATTGAGTTTTTCAAATTTTATTTTTCATTACTTTTTTAACCTATTATTGATGTGTTTGATTTAATTTTATTTTAAATATATTATATTTTTTGAGATTTGTTTATAATATTTTTTGGCCGGCCAGGACATGCCCAAATCCAGCCCGAATTACCAAGGGCCGAATCGTGCTTTCTTGCACTGCTTGAAATTGAAATTATAGGTGTTCAAGTACAGGCACAATTGGTCACAATAACAACAAAATTATTGTTGGTCAGAAGATAAAAGACCAGACCTATGTGGTTGTGGATTAAAAGAAGATGAGTTCCTGGGCTCCTTCCTCTTGTGGATCACATATTTTTTATTTCGTTTTTGGGTCTTGCTTTAGGGGTCTATTATTATGCAAAAAGTTTCTCCTATGTGGAAAAGGAATACAACTCCTACTTTACTCAAAAGTCCAAACCCTAATCACAAGTTAAAAATATAATTTTTATATTAATCATAAGTAAAATATTGTTTATGAGTAGTACAATGTATTATGTTGGCAGGTGTAATATTTTGTGCTGCCCTCAATTTGTGTCATGAGTTTAGGATCAATTCTAAGTGGCTCTGAAGATACTTAGGAAAAAGGAAAAGGTAATAGTGAGTATCTTCAATTATACGAACATGTGAGAACAACTAATAGGACTGATATTGAATAAGAACATATGAAACTTAGAAATCAAAATTTTATAATTTGATTGATAAGATGTTTTTTTTTTTTTTGGAAATTGATAAGTTAATATTGTTTGCATAAAGTTATAATAGTTCATTGAGATTCAAAGTTAACATTTGACTAGGAGAAACACATGCTCCATATGTGATTTGAATCCTTTTAGGAGAAATCAGAAGATTTAAGTTATTGTGTCTCATGCATATACTTTTAATTTCCATTCCACAAACTTAAGTAAATGTTGCTTAAAGCATCGCAATGTGTTGTTATGTTTGTAGTGACACTATGTTGTCACCCCCACTCAACTGTGTGAAGAGTTTAGACTTTTTAAATTATTTATATATAATACTAATAACAATAATAATCGGGAAAAGTTTATTTAGAGCCAAGGCTCTAAACAATCAAATTTGAGCGTACCTCAAAACTTTTCCTAAAAGATGTTGTTTTCACGCCCAAATATCTTCAAATTCATCATCTCGACATCAAGATACATGGACATGACAAAAAAATGGATTTCAAGTTTTAAAATTTGTGTGTTTTTTAATGTATTTTTGGACCATTTTTAAGATTTTGAAGTTTTCATAGATCTATTGATCTACACTATTTTTGAAGCTTTAAACTTTATAAATAAAGATAAAAATATATTTTAAGGCTATCACAAATATTTTCAGTATTGAAATTATATTTCTCGACACTATTTGAAGATAGGCTCTAATTTGATTGTTTAGAGCCTAAGCTCTATACAAACCACATAATAATATAGGCTTCAAAAAAGTTAATATATTTTTTTATCTTAATCTTAAGCAAACTAACGCTTAGACCATTGCAATGTGTTGTTTTTCTTTTATTATTGAAAGGACTTAAAGTTAAGTTTGTGTATGGATATTATTCAAATATAAATTTTATTTCTAAACTATAATTTATTAGATTTAATAATTGAAATTTAAGAAAGCGACATTTTTCCTTTACAAGGGAATTACTCAAAATTTTGGTATCAGTTTACTCTGGCTCTAGAAAATGTGGATGCAGATTAGAATGGCCCGGTCCGAATTGGGAATCAATAGAACCGTGTCAGTTTCCATATGGTATCAATGGCCTACTGATTTTAAAAAGAACCATTCAGTTCTTTGACTAAACTTGCAAGTTCCATCAGAAAACTGGCTGGCTCTATTAGTAAACCAGATGACAATCTGGTTCTCAGCAACTTTTTATTTTTTATTTATAAAATTTTATTTGTTTTTCACATTCCTATTTTTCACACTCTGATATTCTATTGGCTAGCCCCACTTGCAACACCCGCGTGTTCCCGCCTGG